TGAGGCTTTATTTGTGTTTCGGGAGCAATTGCTCTTTGATAAATATCCCAAACGACTACAGCATAATTAGTACGCATTTTGTAGTGGTTAAGTGAAATTTTTGCAATAAAATGAAATAGAGAATTATGTACAGTCACGGAATGAAAAGGTTCGTCAGTTTTCAAATTGATTAATTCAACGAATCGCGAGCACATATTACCTTTTGAAACTATGTTCCAGAATAATCTCGAGTTAGAGAAAATAATCTTTAACTGTTCGTCAGTAAAGTTCAAAATTATTCAGATCAAAATTGTTTGACGATTTATCTTGTCAAGAAGATTATGATTGATAAACTAAAACCTTCTTGTTGGTTCAACCTGCCATTATTATTTCTATTAAATAAAAAAAACTATTGTCAATTGGTCAATGTCATTGTTAAGAATTGAGATAGAAAAGGAATAAATGATACCCAGGCTCAAGGAAGGGAAAGCGATATAATAGAAGGATAAAAGGAAGATACAGGATCAGGGATATAGAAGAGACAGACAGAGATGACAAGTGACATATAGAAAAATATAAAAATATAAACCATAAACTATCAAAAGAGGCCGTTCGTAACATCTCTCCCTCTCTCTCAACAATGATAGAATATGAATATCAAGAAAAGAGAGAGAGACAGAGTGGGAGAGATTGATACGACCGGCCTTAAGGTGGGCTACAAAAAGAGTTAAAGGTTCATCTAACTTTGTGACGTGACGTGGTGGTTCACAATGTGCTGGCTTCGGGTCAGGGGGTGGTGGAGTCTTGCAGTCAGGTGAACAGATGAGGCATCGTGCAGAAAGGAAGAGGCGTCGTGCAGAGAGGAAGAGGCTTGGCAACCGTAGATAAAGCAGCGTCCAGCAGCAACAACCTTAGATAAGGAACGGCCAGGACGCACAGAGGTAGGCGCATCCTCGGTGGCAGCTCCAGATTGCAAATCGGGTACACTTGAAGAAGCAGGTCTACCTGGGCACACAGAGATAGGCGCGCCCGGAGAGGGAAACCTGCGGCAGCTCTACCTGGGCACGCAGAGATAGGCGCGCCCGGAGAGGCAGAGCTGTAGATATGTGATGCCCAACTTGAAGGCGCCGTATTCTCCAACCATTTCGGACTGTTAACGCTGCAGCGGCTGCCATTGGCTTCAACAGGCTACGAGCGGTCCCTTTCTGGATACGACTAGCGAGCCGTAAATCCGATGGAGCTTCAGTATCCAAAGTCTCATCAACGACCATATTGGTATGCCGTGAGCAAGGCGTTGGTGGTTATGACACGCAGCAATCCACTAGCTCGATGCGTTCCACCCAAGACTTCCACTCAAGACGACAGAAGGGTCCATCCAATTTTCAAAAGCAGTAAGATANATGTTTCATAATCTTGGCACCGACTGTTTCATTAACAGTTAATAATAGTTATGTTAAATCACCCTAAGCACCACCAGCACAGAATAAGTAATAGTACAGGTGCCACCAGACACTTCCAGATAGGTGATGTATACCTATTGGCTAAGGTCATGAGAATGCTGTTGCTACTGGCACGCAATCTGTTTATCAAGGATGCTGTCTTTTTGCGGATTATAGCCTGGAAGCCATCAACATTGTGACAAGCAAACATCCCTGACGCACTACAAAAGCGCGGCAGCCCCAGCAGCATTCTGAAGACGTTATTATATTGGATGCGCAAGGTATCCAGAGACTTTTTGGTAATTATGATCCAAAGACTTCCCGTGTAAAAGATCTGACAATATGCTTTGAAAAGTGTGATCTTTACTTCATCGGTACAACGGGAGAATCTGCGAATCAGCATATTTCCTCTAACAGCCAGAGCTCTGCGCTCTCTCTCAATGTCTACATCGTCCTTGAGGTCGTCGGTGAGGAGGTGTCCCAGGTATTTGAATTTAGTGACGCGTTTTATGTTCAGGCCGTTAAGGGTAATAGGCTAGTTGCCTAAAAAATTTTTTTTAGTCCGTAATGTTTAATATCAAAAAATATTGGACACATATATTTTTATTTGTCAATCTAACAAATAATTACATAGTTATGGTGCGTTGAAGTTGCGCACGACGTCACAACGTGCGGCATTTTTAACGGTCATTCTCCGGATGTTATTTTGATGTATAAACGACAATATTGTAAAGTTTCAATAAAATCTGTTAAGTAGTTGTTGCGTAAAAGAGTAAAAAACATACATTTATACATTATACATATAATATTAGTGACTCTCCTATATGGGACAGAAGGCCTCCATCGCATTCGGTCTTAAGCTTCGTGTTTGATCTCGCTCCAAGTCTTAACAGTGCGCCGCTATGTTTTTTTGGCGCGACCGCGTTTGCACTTTCCCTNATAGTTATGTTAAATCACCCTAAGCACCAGACACTTCCAGATAGGTGATGTATACCTATTGGCTAAGGTCATGAGAATGCTGTTGCTACTGGCACGCAATCTGTTTATCAAGGATGCTGTCTTTTTGCGGATTATAGCCTGGAAGCCATCAACATTGTGACAAGCAAACATCCCTGACGCACTACAAAAGCGCGGCAGCCCCAGCAGCATTCTGAAGACGTTATTATATTGGATGCGCAAGGTATCCAGAGACTTTTTGGTATGATTGACCCAAAGACTTCCCGTGTAAAAGATCTGACAATATGCTTTGAAAAGTGTGATCTTTACTTCATCGGTACAACGGGAGAATCTGCGAATCAGCATATTTCCTCTAACAGCCAGAGCTCTGCGCTCTCTCTCAATGTCTACATCGTCCTTGAGGTCGTCGGTGAGGAGGTGTCCCAGGTATTTGAATTTAGTGACGCGTTTTATGTTCAGGCCGTTAAGGGTAATTGTAGGTGGATCGTCACGAGACCCACCGACGGCCCCAAAGACCATGTATTCCGTCTTTTTGACATTGTATAATAGGCCATGTGCAGCCGCGTAGCCCTCACAAACTCTCAACATTTTTGCAATGGAACTACCAGTCGGGCCGAGCAGCACCATATCATCTGCGTAACTGATATTGTTTATACTAACTCCATCAATCCGACATCCTACCCTCATGCTGCTCAGCTCGACTATGAGGTCATTTACATACAAATTGAAAAGCTTTGGTGACGTCAAGCCACCCTGCCTTACTCCACACTCCAGTCTGTATGCATCCGAGCATACATTTGCCCACTTAACCACATTTGTTTGATTAGCATACCAATACTGAAATATATTCAGGATTTCTTCCGGTAAATGCCTGTCTCTCAACTTATTCCAAAGCGTGTCATACGATACGAGGTCAAAGGCCTTGGACAGATCAAGAAAACAGGCATGCACCGGAGTTCTACGATCCGTATAATACTTGACAGTATGCTTGAGTCCCGCAATTGCACACTCGGTTGATAGTCCGGGCCGAAAACCGAACTGCGCGTCATGTAGGCCAAGATGATTGTTTAGGCAGGAGTCAAGCAAACTGTCAAATATCTTGGCAATAGTTGTAGCCAGCGAAATAGGACGGTAGTTTCCTCTGTCGGAGATGTCGCCGGTCTTGTTCTTCACTATTGGCACAACAGTGGTTTTCATTAAATCGTGCGGTAGATATGAATGACTCACGCACAGAGTGAAAAACATCGACAACACCCTCGGCAAATGAAACCCCGCATACCTAAGATGCTCGATACTGAGCCCGTCATGCCCCGGCGACTTACCCCCGCCCATACGCTTCACCGCCGATCTCACCTGAGCAGCGGTGAAGCACGTGAGCGACCGCTCCCCCCGACGGCACCCGGGCCCAGCACCGGGCAGCCCAGGAGGGCCAAGTGGAGACTTCACACTGAAGTGCTCTCGAAACATATTAGCTATCTCCAATGCATCTGTTTTCCCTCCAACGCTCACCGGGAGGCCGGCTTTGAGGTCATGCTTCCCGGTTTCCTTCCAGAATTTCTTAAAGTTATTGGAGGATCTGTGTTGTGCGAGAATGTCCATCTTTATTTGTTCTTGGTTATTCTGGCACCATTTTAGACGACTTTTAAAAATCTTTCTGGATTTGTGCATCTCTTCATATATGAGACCANAAATAGTTATTTTACAAAACCTTTTAGTCATATAGTTATATCGTATTTAATTTATCAATGTTTATTTAATCAGTAATCGATTACATAAGCATTGAAAGCGGTAATAATAACGGATTAATTTATACGAGCAAATTTGTTCTGAAATCGGGAGCGCGGACACGTCGTGGTAATCAATTTTTGACGACTTACGATTTTTTTAAAATTACTTAATTAACTATTATTAACTATCTCTGTGGTTTAACAACAAGGACCAAAGTTATACTATTAGATAAAAATATTTGTTACTAAAATATTATGATATTCGGGTACTTTTTGGCCCCGGACACGTGATTTTCTTGGCCGGTGGAATGACCCTTAAGCAAGCGTTGACGTCACGGGCCTCTTCTTATGAACTTTGGGGCGCTTTATCTCTTTAAATTTTCATTAGTTTGAAAAAGTGAAAAATACGTGTAGAGTATTTTTTGATAAGTTAACTGACGGACTAATTAAAACTTTTGCTTTTTGACCCAGGCAACATCCCCATTGTAGGTGGATCGTCACGAGACCCACCGACGGCCCCAAAGACCATGTATTCCGTCTTTTTGACATTGTATAATAGGCCATGTGCAGCTGCGTAGCCCTCACAAACTCTCAACATTTTTGCAATGGAACTACCAGTCGGGCCGAGCAGCACCATATCATCTGCGTAACTGATATTGTTTATACTAACTCCATCAATCCGACATCCTACCCTCATGCTGCTCAGCTCGACTATGAGGTCATTTACATACAAATTGAAAAGCTTTGGTGACGTCAAGCCACCCTGCCTTACTCCACACTCCAGTCTGTATGCATCAGAGCATACATTTGCCCACTTAACCACATTTGTTTGATTAGCATACCAATACTGAAATATATTCAGGATTTCTTCCGGTAAATGCCTGTCTCTCAACTTATTCTAAAGCGTGTCATACGATACGAGGTCAAAGGCCTTGGACAGATCAAGAAAACAGGCATGCACCGGAGTTCTACGATCCGTATAATACTTGACAGTATGCTTGAGTCCCGCAATTGCACATTCGGTTGATAGTCCGGGCCGAAAACCGAACTGCGCGTCATGTAGGCCAAGATGATTGTTTAGGCAGGAGTCAAGCAAACTGTCAAATATCTTGGCAATAGTTGTAGCCAGCGAAATAGGACGGTAGTTTCCTCTGTCGGAGATGTCGCCGGTCTTGTTCTTCACTATTGGCACAACAGTGGTTTTCATGAAAGTAAAGGTGATAAAAATTTGATATTTTCACTGAATAAAATTGAAGAGATTCAATTAGGTGGTTAAGAATGATGATAATTGAGATGAATAGCACCTTACGGTTTTATGGTTTGAGTTAGGGCGCTATCTTGCGAGAAATTTCTATTTAATGTAAGTACTCTTGAATTATGCAATCACTAAGGGTACTTAGGTATGAGTCTCGAAAATTTTTTGGCCTCTTTTTTGTCGATAAAGATGGGTCTGGTTTCGTCTATTTTCATGTGTGCGCTTTGGCGTGACTCACACTGTATATGTATCAAAACGCAACAATTAACCTGGAAATTAGCACGGCACTAAAGAAATAATTATATTCAAAACTGCCACGCGGTCTCGTGCTAGATGGGCGTCTTAAAGGCCACCTTCTATCAACGGGAGCGCGTGGTAAGTAACTTGCTTCTGAATGTATTGTACCTTCCTACTTTTTTATATTTTTAAACCGGCAGACAGTGGTGACTGAGTTTGTTGCGGCGCTTCTTCTCAGCACTTGCCAAATGTTTGTCTCGAAGCGCTGGTAGGGCAAAAAAAGAATGAGAATTAATTCCATTAAACCAATTAATTCATAATACCAGGTATGTATTACGAACAATATTATTATCCACTAAACAGAAGACATCATAAGTAAACATCGTGAAGTATTAGATGACGTAGTAGTAAATACAACTGTTTACACAGTGAATTAGATCCAGTTACATGTAATTATCATTAATTTAGCTGTCTGCGGAATTGAGTTAGGTCACGCTTAGTCAGAATGAACGAGTATATCATCACTACCATGATGGGTAAAAATATAACAAATCATTTAACACAGTGAGTAGCGATTTGTTGTAAAGGTGAGTTTGAAGTCAAGTTTCTGTATACAAACTTACGCTGCGCATTCATATGCACATTACGTAATATATAAAAGCTGACTAGATGTGTTTCTGGTTATAAATAAACCAACATTGAANATTTTCCTGGTCCTTCGAGCCGGATCACCACAATTGACAAGCATCGTAATGGGCGTAAGTGTGACCTATTTTTTTCTAATCTAACAAATAACATGTTTTAGCGCCATATTACAATTCATTAGTTACACTGAGTTTTTATCATCGTAGGCCTTCGTTGTCTACTGTTAGCGTCAACGTCTATTTGTATAATGGAATAATATACCTCGTAGTTTTCTTCACCGGTCGCAATGCACGTGTGACGTCACCGGCGTGACGTCATCCAGTCGTCGTGTTACCACAGCCATCGTCGCTTCACCCCTGGGGCGTTTCGTCATTCAGTTGGTTGTTCCCCTGAGAAAGATAAGAAGTCAGTAAAAGAAGCGTCAAAATAATATTATTATGTTTTTAACTTTTTATAATAAATAAATAAAATAAAAATAAAAAGTTTTTATTTCGAACAACTCATAAGTTCATAGTGTGGTTAGTAAACACACCTTAAATGCTAATGTTAGTAATCTTTATAAAGTGATTATTATTTTCCAATATACGTAATATCAATATTATAATTAAATCAAATCAAATTAAAAACAAAAAAAAAAGAAATATTAAAATCAATAAATTAAATAAATTAAATCTATAAATCAAATTAAAAATCAAACTAAATTAAATTAAATCAATTAAAATGTGACTAAATTAAAAATCAAAAATCAAACTAAATTCAATCAATTAAAACCAAATAAATAAAAGTAAATAAATAAATAAATTCAATTCAATTCAAATCAATCAAATTCATTCAATTCATTCATTAACAGTCAATAATAGCGTCATACTGTTAGTTTTTGGACCTAAGACAGGTCAATAAGGTTAAAAATAATAGGTTGAGTAAATACCTAGCTTTAGGCCTAGCAAGTTCCAAACGTCCAGTTTTAAGTCAATACGGTTCAAAATCCTTAGACCCAGCAAGTTCGATTTTTTCTATGAACCTTAAGTCAAGTCAATAAGGTCGAATATACCTTCGTTGTTGTTGTGCCGCGCGCGCACCAGCCGCTCGGGGTGCGAGAGCGCCAGCTACATGTAGTCGCGAAACACGTCTTCTGAGCTTGTTAATACATACCTAGCCTTAAGTCTAGCACATTCCAAACGTCAATACGGTTCAAAATCCTTAGACCCAGCAAGTTAGATATTTTCTTTGAACCTTAAAGACAGGCCAATAAGGTTGAATATACCTTCGTTGTTGTTGTGCCGCGCGCGCACCAGCCGCTCGGGGTGCGAGAGCGCCAGCTATAGTCTGGTCCGAAGTAGAATTTTGTCCAATGACCCCTAGCTACCCATCCTTATCGCTCGCGCGTAATTATATTGCTGTCGCGACTGTGCGAGTGGCACCCGCAGTGAGTGTGCGAGCGCGATAGCAACATAATTACGCGCGAGCGATAAGGATAGGTAGCTACCTATCCTTATCGCTCGCGCGTAATTATGTTGTTATCTCCTAGCTAGGGGTTATTGGACAAAATTCTACGTGCTCACGGACCGGGCTTTACATGTAGTCGCGAAACACGTCTTCTGAGCTTGTTAATACATACCTAGCCTTAGGTCTAGCAAATTCCACACGTCAATACGGTTCAAAATCCTTAGACCCAGAAAGTTGATTTTTTCTATGAACCTTAAGTCAAGTCAATAAGGTTGAAACACCTTCGTTGTTGTTGTGCCGCGCGCGCACCAGCCGCTCGGGGTGCGAGAGCGCCAGCTACATGTAGTCGCGAAACACGTGTCTTCTGAGCTTGTTAATACATACCTAGCCTTAGGTCTAGCACATTCCAAACGTCAATACCATTCAAAATCCTTCGACCCAGCAAGGTCGATTTTTTCTTTGAACCTTAAGTCAAGTCAATAAGGTTGAATATACCTTCGTTGTTGTTGTGCCGCGCGCGCACCAGCCGCTCGGGGTGCGAGAGCGCCAGCTACATGTAGTCGCGAAACACGTCTTCTGAGCTATGTTAATACATACCTAGCCTTAGGTCTAGCAAATTCCAAACGTCAATACGGTTCAAAATCCTTCGACTCAGCAAGTCCGATTTTTTCTATGAACCTTAAGACAAGTCAATAAGGTTGAATATACCTTCGTTGTTGTTGTGCCGCGCGCGCACCAGCCGCTCGGGGTGCGNATGAGGTCATTTACATACAAATTGAAAAGCTTTGGTGACGTCAAGCCACCCTGCCTTACTCCACACTCCAGTCTGTATGCATCCGAGCATACATTTGCCCACTTAACCACATTTGTTTGATTAGCATACCAATACTGAAATATATTCAGGATTTCTTCCGGTAAATGCCTGTCTCTCAACTTATTCCAAAGCGTGTCATACGATACGAGGTCAAAGGCCTTGGACAGATCAAGAAAACAGGCATGCACCGGAGTTCTACGATCCGTATAATACTTGACAGTATGCTTGAGTCCCGCAATTGCACACTCGGTTGATAGTCCGGGCCGAAAACCGAACTGCGCGTCATGTAGGCCAAGATGATTGTTTAGGCAGGAGTCAAGCAAACTGTCAAATATCTTGGCAATAGTTGTAGCCAGCGAAATAGGACGGTAGTTTCCTCTGTCGGAGATGTCGCCGGTCTTGTTCTTCACTATTGGCACAACAGTGGTTTTCATTAAATCGTGCGGTAGATATGAATGACTCACGCACAGAGTGAAAAACATCGACAACACCCTCGGCAAATGAAACCCCGCATACCTAAGATGCTCGATACTGAGCCCGTCATGCCCCGGCGACTTACCCCCGCCCATACGCTTCACCGCCGATCTCACCTGAGCAGCGGTGAAGCACGTGAGCGACCGCTCCCCGCGACGGCACCCGGGCCCAGCACCGGGCAGCCCAGGAGGGCCAAGTGGAGACTTCACACTGAAGTGCTCTCGAAACATATTAGCTATCTCCAATGCATCTGTTTTCCCTCCAACGCTCACCGGGAGGCCGGCTTTGAGGTCATGCTTCCCGGTTTCCTTCCAGAATTTCTTAAAGTTATTGGAGGATCTGTGTTGTGCGAGAATGTCCATCTTTATTTGTTCTTGGTTATTCTGGCACCATTTTAGACGACTTTTAAAAATCTTTCTGGATTTGTGCATCTCTTCATATATGAGACCAGAAGATGGACGGTTACTCTGAGCCCATATTTTAAACCTTAATCTGGCCTCACGGTGAGCGCTGCGGACATGATAGTTCCAGCCACATAAGTTTTTCTTTTTATGGTTACCGACACTACAAGCACTTTTAGTTTCTGAGGCTGCACTGCCTAGAATACATACTATTTCATAATACATATTATCTAGTATGAGCTTGTGCTCTGCTAAATTACAATGCCCGTGACTGCACTCCACGAATTCCGGGGGAAAATCAATGTCACGTAAACGTTCATTACATAGGTTACGGTAAGCTTTAATTTGAACCTCTTTCCTCTCACCCCAAAGTACTGAATTACACAGTCTATTCTGCAATACGGACTTAGGCCTTATAACCGTTAAGTTACACTTTACATGCAAAGGTAGGTGGTCAGACACATAGAATTCTTCACCAATAGTAACATCCAAAATAGTTTGATAAGCCGATACTGATACAACACAGTGGTCTAGCCAGCGTCGAGATCCATGCGCCTCACTAGTGAAAGTGTAGGCATCGGATTGCAATCCTAAATTCTCCACATCTGCCATTATCCAAGATTGGTCCAAACAAAAGTTAACAAGTTCATTATAAAATAGCTCATTTGGATGTGCATTAAAGTCTCCTAAGGCATACATACATTCTATATTATCCCCCTCCATGACTGCACTTATCTCACTAAGCACCTCTGTAAATAGTGGCAGATTTTCGTGTGAGTCAGTAGGCATGTAGACCGAAAAAATAATTATGAAGCGGTCTCCACTGCGCACCCTAATGGCAGCCAGTCGGTTACTATTACATTCGAGTATTGTAACTTCTTGAAAGATACCCTTCCTCCATAGGATGGCCACTCCCCCATAAGGTCTTCCTCTTAATAACCCAGCTGAGGTATCAACTGCAGAGTTCCCGGTAAACTCAAAGTCATTACTAATACTTCCTAAAAACGGTATATCATGGGGAAGTAGCCACGTCTCCTGGAGTGCTACTACGTCCGAGTTCATACAAATGTCACGAACATTGTCAATCGATCGTTTAACAGATTTACAATTAAAACTAGTCAATCTGCACATACAATTATTGTAATTGGGGTCTGTAGACTTGTTAGGGCTCAACAACATTCAAATATTATTTATTAACTTAGCTTATCTGACTTTTTGTACATAAAATGAACAAAACGCCTAAACGTGATGCCGTTTGGCCAAAAGTTATCATCTAAAAACAAATGTAATTTACTTTCAGACACGTAAAGTTTATAAGCGTTATACTTTCTAACTTTCGTCATGTTTATCATTTTTAAGTAGACAATTTCATTGGTTTTTTCCTTAATGTAAGTAACTATGTCATCTACACTCGTTTCCTTACAAACATTTGAAATTAAAAGAGGAACTTTCACATCTGCAGCTCGAAATTTACTATCAGGTTCACTTACAGCACAACCTTTTTGGCCGATAAGTTTATAACGCTTAGGTGACTTACGTCGCACTACCTGCCATTCCGAATTATTGTCTCTTACCACTGGTTCACAGTTCACATTCGAGTTCGCAACACATATCACTCGCGGCCTAAGCGGACTGCGATTTGCTTTAACCGAAATCGATTTATTTTCACACGTCGACCGAGGTATGTTGGTAGGGGACACGATGATCGCGTCGCATGCGCCGGTGGCCGAGCAAGCCGGTTGTGTCGAAACCGCAGTGACCGTCGGGGAGGCCTCAATATGCTCCGCCCACGATTCCGTCCCGCTCGCTCCAGTACTCTCGTCGCAGCCAACGGTCGCCAAACGACTTTTCTCTTTCGCACGTTCCGAAACCGCAGTGATTGCAGGCGCCTCATTGTGTTTTGTTGTTTCGTCTGGTGCCATACATTCGACAGAGACACATTCATCCTCAGGGCTTTCTTTGAATGTCGAATGTTCCGTTAATGAGGGCAGGTCGTTTACCTTTTTAACATCTGATTGAAACGGCGGCGATCTGTATTCAGGTTCATAATGAAGACCAATAGGTCCGCTATTTAGCACAAAACTGTTTTGTAAACATGCACCACGTCTCACATTAACTTTACTATTTGACGAGAAGTTATTAATCAAGGATGCATGTTTTAAAGTATCAACTTCTTGTTTGAGAATTTCAAATTCGTCCGTTTTGACGACCTTCTCTTCTAGGGCACATAACTGATTCTTCAGGCATAATATATCCCGTAGGAGTCGGGTCACATCGACGTGGTCAAAAGTGACCGGTGGGAGCCTATGGAGTTCTTTTGCCACGAAAATCGGGAATATTGCAGGGTCGGCACTTTTCATCAAAGCGATCATATCGTCCAGATCCTTTGACATTCTCTTCTTGCCATCTTTGCGACGAAGCGGCATCTTTTTACCGGTAGGTATAGACTCGTAGAGAAGACTCTTGGCTTTCATAACATCTTCATTTGAAAAAGAAGAGGTACACAGTTGATGGATACTCTCCTCATCCATAAAGTCCAGTACATTGTTCAGGAAAGCCAGAACTTCGTTGATCACTATGTTACAATTAGCACACTTCACTGTATTCGATGTCATTTTCCTCTCTCGCTAACGAGTGAGTCACCAAGTCAACCAAACGTGCGTGCACGCGTGCGTGTACAGCGGCGCGCGACACCGGACTGTATTAAGTAAATAAATTATTTTTATGAGTATGTCATAAAATTGTTGTGTATATGTCACCGGAAAATAACAAGACTCGTAAGTTGATCAATTTTCNATCCTGTAACAGATGCCGCGTCGGCGGCCGCCGCGGGGGCGGTCGCGACTGGTGCGGGGTCGGGTGCGGCAGCGTGAGGGGAGCCCCGTATGGGCTGCCTAGCCTCGGCCATACCCGATTTAATATCTTGCGCTTTTCTTTGAGCCCGAGTGATTATGGCTGGTAAGCGAAAAAATTAAGGGAACAAAATTTGCCGGAAGAAGGACCAAAAATGTTAAGAATTGAGATAGAAAAGGAATAAATGATACCCAGGCTCAAGGAAGGGAAAGCGATATAATAGAAGGATAAAAGGAAGATACAGGATCAGGGATATAGAAGAGACAGACAGAGATGACAAGTGACATATAGAAAAATATAAACCATAAACTATCAAAAGAGGCCGTTCGTAACAGTCATCATTGCATTGCACTGATGGGATAGAAAAATAAACAAGCAAAACCTTATTTGTTAGCAAACGTCATATTTATTTAAATGTTAGCAGCACTGTTTCTTGCACTGTTATGTTGGCAGGTTTGACTCTTACAGTACCTAGTGCAAGCGAAAACCGACACTAAGGTGACGAACCTTTTCATTCTGCGACTGTACATGCTATAAACGCACGTATTATATTTTATAGTTCCATCGCCTCAATTAAGCTTCAAACTGTGCCAGGGACTTTGTAACAACTTTCGCGGAAACCAGCTTTTAGCTGTTAGCTTTACGCTAAGCTTCACGTGCATGGGTGTGGTATATTGTGTGTTTATGAGTTACGACAATGTACAACTGTACATTAATATCACATCAGAATTCATATTTTTGCTGCAAAGAGCATCTATTGCAGTCTTATAAGGTACTAAAGTGTTTAGCTCACACTGAAAAAAAATGTTTGGTTACTGCTTACACAACAAAAGTGACCACCGAACTAAGGTTGGGTTGCACCATCTTACTTTAACTTTGACAAACGTCAAAAATCTGTCAAACTCCATATGAAAAACACCTGTTATCGTCAAAGTTACGGTCAAATTTAGGTGGTGCAACTCAGCCTTTTTTTTCAGTGCAGAGGCAGTGTAAGCAGTCCGAGGATATATCTATCTATCTATATCGCACCTTTAAAGTTAAACCGTTACTAAACGAATTTTTCGCAAAAATGAGTTATCAACGCCATCTTACTAAAGAACACGTAAACTACAAGATAAAATAGACCACTTCTTCAAAATTGCCTTCTAACGCCATCTAGCGTTAAAGCATAACGTTACTAAGCCAAACTTTGAACGGCTCGCTAAATACAATAACGGGTCTATGCAAGTAAGAACGTGTTTGTTGCGGAGTGATGACGAAAGTTTAAATTCATAGTGTGATTATTTCGATAGTAACGGCCGGTCGTCACAAAAAAAGGTAAGTTGTTTAGTTTTTTTAATGAGTAAAGTGTGACTATATGTTTAAACACAGTTTTCGTTTAATACACAATTCATTATAAAATTTCTTTGGTAAACGGTAACAATTGGTATAGTCACAGTTTGCCTTTATTTTTTTAGGTACTTATCTAATAATATTTATCACTAAAGGGTGCCTATTTCGTTAATTACAGTTTTTCAATAAGCAATGAGTAAATTTTATGATTTACAATAGTGAAACATTTTTTTTAGTCTATAATAAAATATAGATTAAAAGCATTTATTTGCTCCAGGTGATGTCGTATTTCCGGATGACCTCACCCCCTCTTCGTAGCTGATAACTAAGCCCTGAATCCTTTAACAGAGTGCGAAGAGGATTCAGTGCTAGGCAGAACCACAAGGGACTCAAACTGTCACCCTGGAAATGCCTCGCTCAATCCTTATGAAGTTCAATGGATCAGGAGACCTCTCACCACCACCTGGCTGCCGAAGGACTGTAGTCCACTGCCCCATGCATGAGCATGAGCGTAAAAAGGATCTCATTGCATCTACCTTATACAACTCTAAGATCCTCTCCCGCCATGATTGAGGCACCGAATCATAGGCCTTCTTATAGTCAATCCAGGCAGCAGAGAGAGCTTTCCTGCTTCGCCGAACTTGTTGGCTAATGGTTATGTCTATGAGGAGGAGCTCTTTAGTATCACGAGACTCAACCTTACATCCATTCTGAGCAGTGGCCACAAAATATTGTTCATTATTTTTATTATTAAGTGATTTAAGGTAGGTATGTGAACAACCTTTCGAGGGTAGGGAAATAATGCTGAGATTGTAACTTGAGTTTAATATATTTTTTATGTATTTTTGGTAGGTAATTGCTAGGTGTGTTTTTTTCTTATTCGTTATCAGTTATACTTCCTATGATTTAAAGGTACAAAATGTCTTAAGACTGATTAATAAATAACTAGGCTAAATGCTTGTATGGATATCTTTAATTTGTAATAAAATATTGTTGATTTCGAATGTTTGTTATTTTTTAATATTGTAACATCATCACAAATAACTACTCTATGATATAAAATTTAAATATTTAATAATATCACCATTATCATTGAAATTTAAATAGTTTTCAATATAGTAACATTATTTGGACTGCAATTTGAATAGTAATTTATTTAAAAATGAAAAAATAGTAAATGGTAAAGTGTTACTATAATTATATAAATCAAAATAAATAATACTATACATAAAATATTTTATTTTTGTAAATCACATAACATAGCGTTAGCACATATCTATCATAAAACTCATTAAGAAGCCTTAAAATACTATTTCCTTTGACTGTATTGAAAAAAAACATTGACTTTATTGTTATTTTGGCTCTCCTGCAAAATTTCATAATTTCGTTTAGTAACGGTTTAAATTTAAAGGTGCGATATTTATAAAAGTGAAAGGTCACTGACTGACTGACTCACTGTACATCAAGAAATCTCAGAAACTAGAAGTGACAGGAGTCTCAAATTTTGCATGGGGGTTCCTTTTAGAACGTAGGTGCTCACTTAGATAGGATTTTCCAAAATGCAACCCCTAAGGGAGTAAAACGGGATCCACGCTTACGAAGTCGCGGGCGGCCGCTAGTCCTTATATAAAAGCAAAAGGTCACTAACCGACTCACTCATCATGAAATCTCAAAAACTATAACACCTGCAAACTTGAAAACTAACCGAATTAAGAACCTCCTCCTTTTGTTGAAGTCGGTTAAAATAACTAAGAATTTTTACAACTGCCAATAAACTGCTACGAATTACTCGTAGCTACGCGCGCTACGAATTGCTACGCGTGCTACGAATTGCTACGCGTGCTACGAATTGCTACGCGTGCTACGGTCTTTCAGGTTCCTTAAAGGACATCCTCTATGAAAGGATTTTACGAAACTCCACCCCTAAGAGGGTAAAACGGCGGTTAACTAACTACACGTGAAAGTCGCCGGCGGCCGCTAGTTTATTATATTTATTTGAATATTGCTCCAATTCCGC